CCACCCGGCACGTTAACGCCCCCGTCAATTCACCAAAGCCCCCGAGCACCGGCGGACTGCCAACTGGTCAAAACATTTGCACCGAATGCGAACGTCTCATTACGTAAGTGGGCCACGAAATCAAACCAATAAAAGTGCAGAACATTAGCATTAACATTAACATTAACATTAACATTAACACTCTCATTAACATTAGCGCTCTAATTAACATAAACATAGCCTGCAACTCATTGTTGCATAAGTCAATGTAGTTTCAAGTGTTGTTGAACTGAGTTCGTGTTGTTCTTTGTGTATGCACTTTGAGTCAGTCACTCACTTTAACAGCTACATTAACATTAACATTAACATGACCACTCTAATTAACATTGCCTGCAACTCATAGGTAACTAATTTCATGTTGTTTTAAGCTTAGCCGAGTTAAGTTCGAGCTGTTCTAGTTTAGATTTGGGCAGGTCTAGGGTGTCCTGGGGGTATTCTAGTGTTAACCTGGGGGCGTCCTACACACACACACACAACACACATATTACTTGCAAATAACTTGTCAAAGGCTTTGTGAACTGATTGAACTTTTGTGCTGTCAACCACATGGCGATAATTCCGCTGCAGAGCCGCACAGCCCGGCCAACTTCTACTGGACGCAGAGCCATGCGATTGGCGGCAACGAGCGACGCACGCCGCTGCCCCACAGCCAAATGCAGGCGCAGTCGCAGTCGCAGGTAGGACGCCAGGATGAGCGCATCGGCACCAATTTACAGCAAAATACGCTGGCGCCGGCGGCCCCGCACAGGCCCAGTCTGCCGGTTGCGAAGCCCCAGCATCCCGAGGAGGAACAGCAGCAGCTGCAGCAGCAGCAGCAGGAGCAGCCCGATCCGCGCATCATTGTTATGCCCATATGCCGGGCGCTGCAGGGGCCCGACTACAAGGCGGATATGGATGCGGCTGCAGCGGCATTGGCCAGCGATGCTGGTGGTGTGCGTCCTTTGTCCGCCAGCGGACATCCGGCATGTCAATTGTGCGGCGTGGGCATTGTGTAAGGATTTGTGTTCCATGTTCAATGATAATTCATGCCTCTGTGTCTCTCAGTCTGTGTGTGTGTGCGCGTGTGTGAGTGTGTGGCTCGTGTGTCTGCGCACGCATTTTAATTTGCTTTTATTTCGAAGTCAATTGTTGAAATTTATGCAGTGCACATGATTATTATGCAGACGCCTCCAACACCTGCGACTGCAACGCTGAGCTCCAGTTGGGGCTCATGGGAATATCATCATTTGTATTAATTTGTATGCCAATTTAATTGGCTGCCATTGACGACTCATGAGCTTAATTCGATAATTCATTATGTAGATTTAACATATTTTATTTTATTTTATTTTGTTTACCATTTTAAATTTATTTTACCTTACTTTTTGCTGACTAACAGTTGCGCGCTTTAAGCCATCTACTAATGGGAATACGCTTAATACATTTCGATAAGTTATCGATAACACATATTGTACATAGTTAAATCCTCTTCCTCATCCTCTTATGAAAAAATTCCAAATAAATATCGATATTAGACATTTTATCGATTATCGATATTTCAATAAGTTTTAATATATTTTTTTATATTTATTGCTTACCAAACGTCACCATCCTCTAATTGGAATATGCAAAATACATTTCGATTAATTATCGATAACACATATTGATCGTTTATTGCTATTTGATAAAGTTTTAACTGGTCATTTATATTTTATCAAACTCTAACCACGTTTCCATCTTCTAATGGGAATATGCCAAATTCATTTTGACTAATTATCGATAACATACACGAAGCTGACAATCGTTTATCGATTATTTTTTAAAAGCTTTTTAAGATAGATTTGTAAAATATATAGCTGACAATATATTTTCATTCCCCCCATCTAGCGGCGTGTTTGTGCGCATCAAGGACAAGAATCTGCACGTGGAGTGCTTCAAGTGCGCCACTTGTGGCACCTCCCTGAAGAACCAGGGCTACTACAACTTCAACAACAAGCTCTATTGCGACATCCATGCCAAGATGGCTGCCCAGCAGCATCCACCAGCTGGCACCGAGGGCTATGTGCCAGTGCCTATTAAGCCGTAAGTAGACGCTAAATACCTTGTCAAAATACCCTGTAAATGTAGGTAGACTTCAATTAGAGCCTCAAAAATTGCCAATATACCCTGTTATGCAGCTCAACTTAAGGTTAGGCATCAAAGAACGCCAAATACCCTGTCATAATACCCTGTAAATGTAGCTAGACTTAAGTTAGAGCATCAAACAATGCCAAATACCCTGTCAGAATACTCTGTAAATGCAGCTCAATCAGAACTTGGGCATCAAAGAACGAAAAATACCCTGTCAAAATACCCTGTAAATGCAGCTCTAGCTGAGGTTAGGCATCAAAGAACGCCAAATACCCTGTCAAAATACCCTGTAAATGCAGCTCGACTAGAAGTTGAGAATCAAAGTAAGAAGTGTTAGACTTTTGGCCCGACTTTATTTTCTTGTTTATTTATTTTTGGCTCCTGCACAATTGGTCAGGTCGAACAAATGAATATGAAAAGAAATATATGAATATAAATGTGAATGCGAATGTGAATGCGAATGTGAATATGAATATGAATTTATGCAATATAAATAAATGCATATTTTTGCGTATGCCAAAACACGTTTGACATTTCGACGGGGCAACAGACGGGACACCGTGGCATTTGTTTGCTTGGAAACCCTGAATCCAGCACCGCCCCATCCCCCCTCCCCCCTAAATCCCCAGCCCCCCTCTGGCCACACAGTTGCCAATTGAATGGCACTTTTTGCATCTGCTGTGGACATGAAAACTCTGACAACTGATTTTCGCTGACGTTTTCAGCAGTGCAAATTTTTATTAAATGCAATTGCAGCCAAAGCGGAGGGAGGGTGGAGGGAGGGAGAGCTGGGAAGGGGGAGGGGAAGGGTAGCAGCCTGAGGTGTGTGGCTAGTCATCGGAAAAAAATGCACATACATATATATTCGTTAGGCTGACAGACGCTCGTGCATGTCAATTGGGGTTTTGGGATTTATTTGAATTTTTGGCCAAATGGCAAATCGCACTTAATTAAAGGCCTCAAAACGGGTCGCTCTCCTGAGAGGAGGGGTGGGGGGGGGGGGGGGGCAATTAGAGGCTGGCCGTGCGAGGAGGGGAAGCCAATTAGAGCGCATTGCCTGGCAACTAACATATTTCTTGTTAATCATGTCATATTATTCGCTTTCGCAGGAACACCAAGCTGAGCGCCAATACCATCTCGTCGGCCTTGAGCTCCCACGGCTATGGCAGCAATGGCTACTCGAATGGCAATGCCACGCCCACACCGGCACCGGTAAGTAAAAGTCATCCTAAACTTGTTAACTGTTCTCTTCGTGTGTGTTGTGTCCCAGCGTGCTAAAAACAATCTTGTCAGACACAAAAACACACACACTCGCACACACACACACAAATGCACAAAGTAAATGGCTTGAGCCAAGTAAAAAATTGGGGGCAAAAAGAAAAAAAAAGTTTGTGACCCCGAAAGACGCACCTGAAGCTCGCTTGTTCTTATTTTTCTTCTTCTGCTGCTGCTTGTTTTATATCCCTCTCGTCTGCTTCATCTTGTTTTTACAATCAATTTTATCATATTGCTGGCAAAATGTTTGCATAAATTTCGCTTGCGGCAGACATCCATATGCTAAAATGTTAAAAATCATTTGGCCAGAAAGAAAAATGCAATGCAATGCAGAAAGTTGTTCAAGGCAAGCGAAAAGAAAAATCGAGCGAGAAAAATATATCTACTTTCAAGCATTCTCATGCAATTTTACCAAAGACGTTGCCCCCCCTCCCCCTCCCCCCTCTTATGCCCTTCATCATCTTCTCCCACTTCTACTTCTAGCTTTTGTTTTTGTTTACTTTTCTTATTCTGGCCAAAAGCGATAAAAACGACAAAATGGAAAAGTTTATGCATTTGTGTGTTATGCTTGAGTTTTCACTTGAGTAGAAGTGTGTCGGGCTGTGTCTGTGTGAGTGAGTGTGTGTGTGTGTGTGCGTGTGTGTAAGCCTGCTAATTCGTTTGTTTCTTGCCTGCATGCAATTATTATTATGTTTATTATGTTTACTCTTTGAATTGTGTGTTCCCAACCTGCCTTTGATTCTGGCTGGAAATGAGCAGTGTGCGGCTGGTTAATCCTATAAAAGCTACCGTAGAGAAGATTTAGCTTTAGTTAGGGTATATTATATATAGGGTATATTGGACTGCCAGCTGTTGGACTAGCTTGCAATACCTTCAAAGAGAGAACTGTACGCATTTTGTATGAAGATCGAAACAATATTTCTTACACTTAAAATATCATTTCATATCATTTGTTTCAAGAACTTTTTGAATATTACTGAACCTCATTAAAGAAGTTTTCTCTTAAATGTTTCCCGCTCATTGTGAGCATTAAAATTATTGTAAAGACTTTTTCTACTTCATTTATCTTCCAAGTTGATTATGCAAATGAATTGACGCTCAGTTATGCTATAATTTAGTTTGCAGCTTTTCGCTGAGTGTAGCAACAGGTACCACGAAATGTGGCACAAGAGTTGTCAATTGAAATTAGGACTGCGCTACGATGCGATGCGATGCGCATCGCCCACAAGTCTCGACTTTTTATAAATAGAAAGTCAACTAGTTGCGATTCGCAGTAATCTTGAGCAGAAGTGCGGATTCGGCTCAGATATTCGAGTATGCATCACAATTGGCTACCAGCAACTGGCAACTGGCAATTGGAAGCGCAGCCAAAGTTGTCGCTCAGTTTTTTGGCTGCGGCCAGCGCATTTCTGTGAAATGTGCAATGCCTGCTAAATGGCTCGAATAGTCGAATAGTCGAATGGTCGAATTGTCGACAATGGCTAAGTGCTAAATATACCTTGGGCCGAGCGCAGCACATTTTTTTTTATTTATTTCAATTACATTTTTATTTTTGTTGGGCTATAAAAAACCACACAGCTGCACAGAGCCGCAGCTGCGGCAGCCACAGCTCGTCTTCTTGGTTCATTTTGCGTTCAGTTTGCCTCTTCGACTCGTGTCCGCGGCACGCAGGCAGCTCGCATGCTGCAGAGTGCAAAGTTCAAAATCGCCAAAACGAATATTTAAGTGCACCACAAAAAATACAAAATATACAAAAACGGAGCGAAAGAAAACTCACCGCAAAGTGTCTTTCTCCCAATAGTTCATCATTTAATTCGAGTGCAAAGTAAAAAGAGTTTTCTTTTTCCATTGGAAATTCGCAACAGAATTTGTCGCTGCTTCTTGAGTGTTGCATAACGTGTGAAAACTGCAATTTTTTTTATTCTTTATTGGAATACGCTTTGGATTATTTTCATACACACAATCTTGACACATTCCAGGAGCTAGCTTTAGCCAGAGTATTGACCTTGACCTAATAGTTATTTTTAGTGCGCACATTGCTCATACGCCACGTTGACAGGCAGACACACACACACGCACACACGCACATACACATAGTTTAAAGCCTCTCAGAAATTTCGCTCTGCATTTTAATTAACTGCCTTTATTAACTGTGCATCAATTTACATGCCTCCCACCCGCTACCCGCTGTTGTTCATGTGCGTGACGTCCGCCTGCCCGCCCGCCCGCCTGCCTGCCTGCCCCGCCCATTAACACGCGCTCGTATTAACACATTAGTCCGAGCCAATGCCAGAGCCTGACTGCAGCAGCAGCAGCAGCGAGCTGCCCCTGCCGCCGCCGCCCTCCCCCACACAGCTGTTGCAATATGAAGCCGAGGAGCTGCTGCTGGTGCCCCAAAACCAAAACCAACAACAGCAACACCCGACACAAGGCTCAGCCCCAGCCAACCCACACCCAAACCCAGACCCACAGCAGCAGCAGCAGCAACAGGCCAGCAGCAAACACACACGCAGCCTCTCATCAATTTCGAGCGGCTCCTCGCAAACATCCTCATCGGGTGTGGGCGGCTGTGCCCAGTTGAGCCCCAGTTTGGTGGCATCCAGCGCCTCGACGCTCTCCCTGGACATGGAGCACTCGCCGCAGCATTCGCGCCAAGCCTCTGGCTCGTGCACGTCGCTGGATGTGGCCAGTGTTGTGCAGTGTCCCGTTGATAATTATACAATGTCAATGCCATCGCCGCCGCCGCCACCAGCGCCCGCACCCGCACCGCCAAGGCCCACACAGAATGAGAATGACATGAATACGCAGAACAAGAGCCATAATGCGTATAATCAGATGCTGAAGCAGTATGCCAATAAGCTGCAGCAGCAACACCCCAACAACAGCAACAACAACACAAACACAACAGCAACAGAAACAACAACAAACAGACACAACAACACGGCCAAGCCATTTGCAACAACAACAACAACAACATCAGCAGCAACTGGGCAACTGCAGCCACATGTCGCCGCGTTGACGGCAACACTTGCTAATCAATTGAAATTTAATTCACATCAGGCAACAGCAGCAACTGCAACAGCAGCAACTGCAGCAGCAGCTAACAGTTATCCAGCGCAGTCTGAAATAATGTCCGCCCACGTGGCGGATGAGCAATCATCAGCTAATTACAGCTACAACAACAACAACAACATGGGCGACTCCGCTGCGTGCACAGGTCCGTGCATGCAGACATCCGCGAGCGGCTCGGATCAGCCGTTCGAGTATGTCACCTTGACCGGAAATGTGATACGCAGCGTGCAGCCGCCTGGTAAGGGCCCCGGCGCCAGCTATCGGGTAAGTTACCGCCCGCCCCTCCCCCCAGCTCGCAGCTTGCCCCTAAGCCAGCCCCTCGCTAACACAAACTGTTTTATGTTCTTTGTTAACTCGACTTAATGCACATTAAATCCGCAAATCTCTCATCAACTATCTCTCTCTCTCTTTCTCTCCGTGCAGGTCAACCAGGGCTATGCTCGTCCGTACGGCGCCTCTCAGCCGCCAGCGGCAGCGCCCAAGTCGCCGGTGTCGGTCTCCTCGTATCCACCGCAGCAGCAGCAGCAGCAATCGCCACGCCCCGCTGGCAATCCCTATGCCACTTTGCCGCGCTCCAATGTTGGTCAACAAGGTAAGACGATGACAGCTGACGATGAGTACGAGACACTGTCTCAGTCAGAAGGTGAATGGGTTTAGTCCAGTTACAGTTACAGTTACAGATACAGATACAGATAGAAGAAGAAGAAAAAAGAACACTCAAGAAACAACCTAACTATGGGCGTGTGATATACAAACTATAAACTTTATATATAATATTTATTCAGCGAGTTTTAGCTGCTTGTTTTGTTTAGATTTTTATTTTTTTTGTTTTTGTTTAGAGCGGGGGTCCAGTTGCGCGTTAGCCAACACTGGCAGCTCTAGTATTAAATGTATAAATTGATCTGTTGTTAAGTTAAACACATGATATATCAAGTTTTTTAATGCAAATAAATTTAACTCGAAGACCAACTAACAAACCAACAAATCAGCCGTCCCTCGCCTGCTTAAAAATAATCGAAACTAATCTAAAATGCAAAAGAAACAATTTGGCAAAAGTGCAAAAACGAAATCGACCCAAAAATATTTTCTATTTAATTTTTCTCTTTTTTTCGTACACCCCAAATCGTTGCAAGAGTCTTGAGTTTGTTATATATTTATATGTATGTGTCTATGTATAGGTCGTACTGTGCAGAGGTACAATAGTATCAACAGACAACAACAACATCAATACCAACAACAACAACAACATCAACACCAGCAGCAGCAACAAAAGCAACAATATAGAAACTCATACCCAATTGGATCGAGCAATAAATATGCTACCCTGCCTAACTATAACACTCAGACCCAGTCCTACAACAACAACAACAACATCTATAACAATAACTACAATCGAGGTAAACAGCAATTGTTGCTCGTGCAACAACAGCAGCAGCAGCAGCAGCCTCTTGGCAACTTGCAACGCGTAGTTTTTGTTCCTTAACCCATTTTTGTTGCTGTTGAGTTATTTGAGTTGTTCGACACATGCCACATGCACACAAAATTCACATGCAACTGGCTGCAGCTGATCGTAGAAAGCAATTCGAGCGAGTTAATCACACGTAGAGGAAAATAATTCATGCAACATCCACGCTGACAGACCCAATTGCTGATAGGTAAAAGCATTTCAAGTAAATAAGTTATAATACGGCCAGACGGGAAATTAAAACCGACAACAATGACGCGTGGACGGGTTGGGGTGTGTCCTCTGTGTGTATTCTATGTGTGTGTGTGTGTGTGTGTGTGTTAACATTTTCAATGCCAATGCAATTGCAGTTGCAGTTGCAGTTGGCAGTGAATGTTGCCCGTTTCCGGCACATTTCATGGCACTGAAAGCCAAACCCAAACCCAAACCGAAACCAAAGTACACGTTACGTATACGTAATGCTGCAAAACGAAACAATTCGTGTACACACACACACTCGCACACACACACTCGCACACACACATACAGTAATATAAATGATATAAAATGTATTTCGGTTCGGCATTGCAACGTTGCAATATCTGCGGTCGCCCCCCCCCTATTTCTCTCCATCTCTCTACATGCAGAACTTTAAATGCATGGCAAATATGTGCAGGGTATGCGCAGCATATCAAAAGACACTGACTGCAAGCAGTCAGCGCACAGTCGCCATTAATCAACTTCGAGTTTTCTTGATTGAGAAAGCTTGAGTTGAGTTTACCTAATACTAAAAATCATCTCTTTTTACTTGATTCAAGCATTCGTTTGCGTATTCCAAGCTCATTTAGAGCTAAGCTGAAATACAGCATGAATTGAATTTAACTTTAATGCTCTTTCTAAGATCAGCTTATCTAAAATTACACTTTAGTTAAGAACTCTTGGCTTGATGCGGTCAATTTTCTCTCTGTGTATAAAGCGCGTCTTTAAATAGCAGCTTTGAAAGTACGAATTACACTCCATTCAAGAATATTTAGCTGAAATTCAGTATGATTTATATTTAATTCTAAAATTTTCATAATTTTTCTTAAATCATGTTCAGCTTGTCTAAAGTTAAGTACGAATCACACTTTTTTCAATAATTGTTAGCTTAATTTCAAGAGTTGACAATTAGTGTGTGCCATTATTTCTGGCGCTCACTGTGCCCGCAGTTCTTCTTCTTCGACTCCTTCGTTCGCGCTGTGTTCACACCAATTTTAACCATTTTTCTTTATATACACACACAAAAGTGCACGCGCGTGTGTGTGTGTGTGTGTGTGTGTGTATGCAAAGTCAATACATATATATATGCTGACATATATGCTTGCATGTGTGTGAGTGTGTGTGTTTGTATATCAATTACGCGTCTGTATTGTTGTTGGCTGTCATAACGGAAATGAATTAACAGCAAATATGGCGCACAGCAGCAACAACAGCAGCAACAGCGGCAGCAACAACAACAATCGCAATGGTAACAATGCAATTTATGAGCCAATTTTTTCTTCGTCTTCATGCAATTAAAAATGCAATTATTACATGCCAAAAGAAGAAACCACCCCCCCCCCCCTCCATCCCCTCACTTTCCCCCCTCCGCTCCACAGCGGCCTCATTAATCAGTTCCACCTTTGAGGCCAGAAGTTCGTGCGTCAGAAATCAAAATCAATCTCCTAATCAAAGCGAGAATCACGCACAACCGCAGCCATTATTTGAGTTTGTTTTTGTGCGGAGACGGGGGCGGCTTTAAGGGCTTTGGTTTTTGGCTTGTTTTTGCTTTGTTTGGCGGCATGCCGCCAGCAGCAGCTGCCAAAAGCCGCCGAAACACACACATAAAAACAAATCCAGTTGGCAAATGCCACACACAACAAGCGGCATTGGGGCCAGGCTGCAAAAAATGTGCTGGCAAACAAATGTTTGTGCTACACACATTCCGACACGCACGCACACGCGCACACACACCCGCACACACACACACACACACACGACGCACAACAATGTAAACGAAGGCAGATAAATTACCAGTCATTATTATCCAAACAGGCTGACATCCTGTGCTGCCTGCTTTGCGCTCTATTGATGTCTGTCCACCTCCCTCTCTCTCCCTCTCTCTCCCTCTCTCTCTCTCTCTCTTCTCTCTCTCTGTCTCTCGCCTGGCAGCGTGCCGGGCGTCCATGCATCAAATGCCTCAAATTCCTTCAAGTCGCAGCTGGAGTGGGCTTCGCTCCGTCTTGTGCTTTGTGATTTATTGTATGCATTTTGTCTGGTGGGAAACTATTGTTCTAAATTTATCTGAAAATGCTTCCGAGCTTGTATTATTAACAACAACAACAAAAAAAAAGACATTGTATTTTGATGAACATTTCTGGTTTTTTCTCTGGCTTCTTTTAGGTTACGGTTACCAATATTCCTATTAGAAAAACTTAAACAATTACAAAAAGGGCAAAGTTTTCGGCAAAGCTGGTGAATTTTTGGAAATTCTTTTTGGAAATTTTGTTCACAACAAAAAATCAAACAAATTCTTAACACACAATTTTTTCTTAGTCGTACTTACTATTTATATACTTGATATTAACAGAAAACGTGCAACTTATACTCAGTTTTAAAATGAATTCTCAATAAATTGCGGTGTCATGCCCAGCAAAAAGAAAAAACAATTGATGAGTATCTGTATAAGCATATGTATTATACTTAGTATATGTATTATTTTCTACATAATTGATTTATGTACGCTAAACGCTTTGCGCCTAACCGCTCTCTAAAACATATCGATAAATACATATCAACAAATACAGGAATATGTATCTACTTATATTATACACTCTATATTCTATATTTCATATATTCTCTACTAATAGAATGGGCTGCCCGAGAATTTGCCATACTTTGCCACAACTTTGCATGCCTTTTGCCTTCACATACATATATATATATATATATGTATTTAAATATACCAAGAAACTTTCTTTGGGGCCTCCTCTCATTATTATTATTGCGACTTTTCCGAAACTTTTCGCTTTCTGTTATTGTTTTTGTCTGTCTGTTGTGGACAGTTTATTTTCTTCTGATATGATAAAATATTTGCCATATACGCGACTTTCTCCTCCTATTTCTTTCTTTTTATTCTACGTGTGTGTGTGTGTGTGTGTGCGGGTGTGTGTGTGTGGCTGCCATTTTCAATTTCTGCAAAATTACAGGCAATATGAAATTATGCATAATAAAAGCCAATGACTACCTGTCGTCGCCATTTTGGCTCCGCACAGACGTGGGCCCCATAAAAAATGGAAGTAAATACTTGTACACACACACACACACACACACACGCACACACACGCACATATTGCTGTCTAGCACACACAGACACAAGGTGCGTGCGTGTGCGTGTGTTTATTGTTGCGCCATGAAAATGGCCGGAAAATAAGAAATGAAAAATTTATTTGCCCCCGTGCACATGGCGCGTAAAACATTCTGCAATATTGTCAACTCGTGCCGTGCCGCGCCTGTCGCACTCTCATTTATATTATTTTTTTTCCGCCCTCAAAATATTGCAAGCGATATTTTGTTTATGTTTTTGCGCGACAACAGATTGTTACAATATATATAATTGTTTTCGGGTTTTTTTCACTGCATTTACTCAGTTAAGAAATATTTGTTACTAGAGAGAATTAACCGGGTCAAAAAACGAGCTAGCGTTCAGGCAGAAACAAAGTCGCTCGAATTTCCAAAACGCGTCTAGGCCTTTTTTCTAAATATTATATATTTTTTAATTATAATATATTTTTTATTAATATTTTATTCGCGAACATTCGAATAAGAAATAAAATAAAAATTTCTTTAGATTTTTAGATTTGAACCAACGACCACCAGCTCGTTGGTTCAACGCGCAGAA